AGTTCAGAGCTTCCAGCATGGCCGAGATCCCCTTGTTGAGACTATCCCACTCTATGCTCTCAGTAGCATCGTTGAGCGAGAAGAGTATCGACGTCGGGTCTTGCGGATCCATCCACAGGAGTAGTGGCTTGCCCCGAGCGGGCGAGTGGCTGCCCCCTGACATCAGGGCCAAGGGCGACTCCCCGCTGGTCCCCTCCACCACCACCACGGCGCTCGGGGACCCCTCGGTCACGCGTCCCTCCGACCGGCCCACGTTGGGCGCCATCACTTGGGCCATCGGTGGCACGGATCACGCTACTTCCTCGGGCACCGCCAAGGCTACCTCCAGCTGCGCTTGGCTTGTCACCGTCATGGCCACCTTTGCTTGCGTCGATAGGGCCTCGACCGGCGGCGTCGTGCCCACCACAGTCGGTGCCGCAAGCGCGAGCGGTAGCTCCGTCCGCTTCGACGTCGGCAGTAGAATCACCTTCATCGCCGGTTGCTCGGCGACCTCCGAGGGCGCTCCTTCAACCCGGCGTCCGTTGGACCTATCGAGGGCACGGGCACCACCACGGGTGACGCCTGACCAGTCGACGAGGCTGTGATGCTAGCTCCGTTCCCGCCCAAAATAGGAGCGATGTCGGGCGACGGCCGACGTCTCGCCTGAATGGCGACACTCTTCTTGGGCACCAACGCCAAAGAGTGGCCCCGTCTCAGGACGCTGCAAGAAACAAATGGCGTGAGTCACGCTGAAAACAGAGAAAAACAAAGAAGTCAATGACTTACATCGGCGCCGCTGGGCGCAGGATACGTTTGGGGGATGAACCCCTAGGTCCTTGCTCCGCCTCCTCGAGACGGGGCCATTTGGTGCCCGCCCCCTGCTCCTGGGCTGAGGGGCTCTCCTTCCTTGCACTCGGGGGCACAGTGGCAGAGCCATCCCCCTCCCTCGGCACCTCGGGCATGGCGGCAGATCCACCCACCCTCGGTAGAACCTTGGGCGCAGCGGCAGATTCGCCCGCCCCCGCTAGCACCTCAGGCACGGCGGCAGATCCGCCCGCCCCCCGCTGACTCTTGAGGCACGGCGGCGGGGCCGCTCCCCTCCGCTGACACCTTAGGCGCGGCGGCAGATCCGCCCGCCCCTACTTGTTCTGAGGACGGGCCGATGGTTCGGCCCACCTCCACCGGCCTCACGGACTCACTTCCTCCCGCATAAAACGGGAAGGGTCCCTGCATGGATGAGTGGATACATGTCAGTGTATCCTCGCTCTCTAGGTCATCCCACTCGGTGTCGGCAACTACCTCATCATCTTCTTCCTCGTCGTCATCATCGTCACTGTCGGTTTCATCCCCACGCTTCCGCGCATGCAATTTCTATTGTTTCTTCTTCCTCTGGTCCTCCTTCTCCTTCCTCTGCCGCTCGGCCTCGGCGCGGTTCGCCACCCTCACGGATGGATCCCTCGGCAACAGAGCCGTGAGATCCATGAGGATGAGGTTCCTCGGCTGGTCCCCCACTCTCAATATCAGTATCAATGGGTCGGAAGCCCAATTAAAGAAGAAGGCACGAGGTAGAGAAAACTTACCAAGACAATATACCTGGGTTCTGGCCTCATCGGAGGGTGTCCCAGCACTGGATACACAAACTCAAGAACAGCGCTGGCGTCATCCTGTGGAGGCTCCATCGCCTCCTTGATGCGCTGTGCCACTTCGGAGGGGGAGAGCGCTCCCTCGGCGAGCGTCGTCCCGTCGAGTGACACCTCGGGCGCCATCATGTGAAGGGGAAGCATGCGCCTCATCAATGGTGCCACTCTCCACGTGTGGTAGGCGCCAATGATCCCCGACCCCTTCACGCCCCTCTCCTTCAGGATTCGGATGGTGGTGAGATGGTCCTGGATTCTCTTCTTGTCTTTCTCCGAGACTCCCCACTTCCTCCATGATTCTGGGACCTCTTCGATGAGGCGCCCGGTGAACTCTGTCAAGGGGGCAGCTGTGTCGTTCTTGATGTAGAACCAATGCGAATGCCACCCCTTGTTGGAGGTCAATAGACGCATCGGCGGGTACTCATTGACGCGGTTGTTGCGGAGCTAAATGCCGGCACATCCCATCGGCACATTCAACTCCTGCTTCTTCTCCCACTTCTTCAGGAGGGTGACAGCGAAGAAGTACCGCCACAGGTCAAAGTGGGGACTAATCCCCAGGAACCCCTCACACAGGGCGATGAACGCCGCAATGTGCTGGATTCTGTTGGGATTAAGATGCTGCAGCTCTACCTTGTAGTAGTGCAGCAATCCCCAAAGAAACTTGTGAGCAGGGGTGGCAAATCCCCGCTCGTGGAAGTGAGCGAAGGACATGACATAGCCATCGGGTGGCGACGGCGCGTCCTCATCGCCGGGTAGCCGCCACTCCTCGGTGGCGGTTCGCACGCAAAGGAGACCACGACGAACGAGGCCCTCCAGGCGCTGGAGGGTGATATCGGAGCGGCACCACGGCTCCATTGGAGGATTAGAGTGGTGGATGTGAACTCGACGATGGCTGAAACATGGATGCGGGAGGCTTAGGCGATTGGCGGCGGAGGTTGTAGATGTAAAGGCAAGGAGGCAAAGTACGAAACCCTGGGAGCGAACCTTTTGGTTTTATAGGGGCGACGGATGCGAGAAAGGCAACTGTCCGCCTGGATCTCTAGGCCTGCCACGATCCGCCACCACGTCAAATCGTAGGATATGCGCCCGCAATCTCTATCCTTTCCCTCCGAAGGCGCGCCGGACGTTTCGCCTCCCCGGGCAGACCAGGACTCTTTTTCAGCAAAAGGGATATAGGTCAACAAAACGTTCCTCCGACCTACCTGGGCCTAGGAGTTCGAGGGCTGGCCCATCAACGGTTTTGACGACTGCCCCAAGGCACCCTTACGACAAAGGATGGGCCCGCGAGTGGCCAAAACTCAGGCGCACGAGCTTCGTGGGAGTCTCGGCCCGCGATCGAGCCTCAGCCGGGCTGACCCTAGGCAGATCCCCACAAACGGGATACCAGGATCCCAATTGAGCTATCCGGCTAACAACCATCAAATCTCACGACGATACCCGCGAAGGGTCCGGCCTTGGCGAAGAAGAAATCGCCATCTTAGGGGCACACCAGGGACAACAATAGAGGGCCAGGGCTCTCAGAACCCTCTCGTTCAGAAAACCCTCCGAAGAAGTATCCTACTCATCCGCAAGCTCGGGGTCTACACCTACCGGGTGTGCTCGTATGCACCCGCTGGCAATTCACAAAATCCCCCAGGCAATTCTACTCGAATCGCCCGGGGGCTCGGGGGCTACTGTCGGGGACCAATATTAGGGTACCCGAAGAGGAGGAGCTAATGACCGTCAAACGTTGATTCATCCGCGCGATCAAGAGCACGACTACACCGCTTGCCGGGACACTCCTCGTCCGTCCACCGAGACCGTGGGCCCTGCCTCGCCCAACCCCCGGGGGCTGGCTCCGCCTCACCCGACATCTAAGGGCAGACTCCGCCTCGCCCGACCCCTGGGGGCTGGCCCTGCCTCGCCCGACGTCTGCGCGCTGCTCCTTCATAACTACGCGCACAGATAAGGCAGGGCACTCAAGTCAACCGCAAAACTAAGGACCATACCCTGCATGCCTGTAGGAAAGTACCGTCAGGATATGACAAGACGGGTGCTTTAAGGCCCTTCCGGGCATATCAAAGCCCGAACAGTGTTGTGGGCGCCGACATTTGTTTTACAGTGTTGTGGGCGCCGACATTGGCCCTCGGGCGCGGATCCTGATGAAACCATACGACAACCACTACGGTCCAGGAGGAGACTCGCGTCCTCTACAGTGACGGACGTGTAGTCACTGCGTCGTCCGCTCCCCGTAGGGTTGCGGATCAACACCCCGGTCTGTCGCGCCGCCCGCCGGGGCGGGATGTGACGTGACCACTTGCTGATCGAGCTAGAGCGTGGCATCATCAACGGACAGACGCCCCACATGGAGCTTTCCCTGTCACCGTCTGCCGTGTCAGCAGGACTGGCTCAGAGAAAAAGGAAGAATCGGCCCCTTCGAAGGACCTTCTTTGCCTCTAACTTTTCTTTTTTCTCTCATCTGTAATCCCTGCTTCCCCTTGGTCTATAAAAGAAAAGACAGGGCACCCCACTAAGGGGACGGATCAATAGAACACACCACGCATCACATAACACATAGCTGAGCAGCAACCAAGCTCTTAGCGTCCTTTCAACCTTTCTATCAGAGACTTAGGACCTGTCTCTCTCTCGCCCGTTTGCAACCCCTACTACGAACCTTTCAGTGCTAAGTATAAACCTTGTATCTTTTAGCACGCCATCCAGGTCCAACGTGCAATAATACAAATTTACTCGTTGATGTTTACTCGAAACACCGACAATATCGTTGCACATTTTGTGAGTTCCGGTTTGTACAACAAAATGAGTAATATTGTTGTCCATTTTGTGAGTTCCGTCGAAGCGTCTTTATCTGAAGTAAATAGAAACATAGAAAACCAAATTCCCAGCATTGACCATTGTTTCGACAACAAAGTTTGGCCTTTAATAAGCTTAAATTCGTACCAAAAGATAGATCAGAGAAGTTGGGAATCTCTGCTACTCTATGCACTGGTTGATTCCGTCAAATAAGAAATATTCATACTACTTGTTCAATGAAAAGCATGCTACACCAACTCGTATAGTGCTTGTTCCACGAAATCCCGTATACCCATTCTATTGATCATTTCTTAATCAGTAAGCTCAAGCTAGACAGAGAACGAGCTTTAGATTAAAGCAAATCTCGCCATCTATCTTTGTCCCAGCCTGTATGTAAAGTACTCTAGATCCTCGAACATACTCCTACGCGCACAAAAAGGCACCACAGGACTTGGATTTGGGCATCCGATTGAAGATGATGCGACGTCAGTCCACCGAAAAAGCGACAGCCATGGTTTGTCGATACCATCGTGGTACGTGCTCCTACCAAAATGCTAGTGAAAAGTCCTCCCCCATAATTTATTTACTGTTTACCTATGTGGATTTGTCTTTGCATATTCTGGGGGATTCTTTTTCATGCCAACTCTAGTGAACCTGCGTGATTTCTCTCCACTCTATAGAAATACTCCTAGAGCTCAATGCTGCTGATTAAAATTAGTGGAAGTATTCGCAAAATTCCGCAGTGTCCGATTGATTTGCATGGTACTACCACATGAACTCTGAACTTGGTACTCCACTACTCCATCCGTCCCTATGCCTCAGTACTGTGTTCCTACTGATCCTAGTGACATTGTTGTCCTACCGTGCTCATGAAGCGCCTAGAATGAAATTCTGACACCTATCTCGATCGTATGGTGGCAGTACTACGGTAATCAGCAATGGAAATGAGAAGCGGTGTTAGATTCAGGGGCGGCTGATAATGCCCGTGCTAACGCAATGGTAGCATATAACCATGCAAATTAAATAACCAAAAGACATATATGTGAAGTCATTAAGCATCACTGAGATATATTTATGATTTATGATTCACGCAAAAAAGAAATATTAAAAAGGAAGTCCATCTTACCCAATCAAAATATGAATAATAACATTTTTCAACATTAGTGGTCACATCTATAACCAAGCATGTCTTCAGGCTCCCCTACATTCAGAAGCCGTCCGGTCCTCAGAGCTGCCTCATCTGTTTAGCCACAACCCACTTTAAAAAAAGGTGGTGAATAGTTTATTCTACGAAAGGAGATAGGCAAACTGTTAAATCGCTGCTAACTTAAATGACCAAACTTCCATTCACCAAACCTTAAGTATTTCAGATAACATTGCACATAGTCTAAAGCCACATGCTGTTACCTGCGCACCAAAGTGCAAATATCAAACAACAGGAAAATACAGAGGATGGGTATTGAAATATCAAATCATGGGGAAAAGGACTCAACATTATTATTTTTTAACCCACTAACATTCAGCCCATCTATTAAGCAGGTTCTTTTTGTTAGTGAAAGGAGGTTAGAGGCCCCGTGTTTCGCTGTGCGCATGTGACAAAAACAAAAAAGAAAGAAGGGCAAGAGTAGGATTGTAGGAGTAGTAGATCGTTGTCGCTCTCGTCCCATCCAGCCCATCCAGAAGCTGAGAAGCACGCAGCAGGTGCTCATCGTCCGTCCTGAACTCTGATCCGTCCCATTTCAGAATTCAGAGGCAGAGCTCGTGACTTCACTTCACTGCACCTGGATGTTGACGACCTTGCCCCCTGCTGTCAACTTGGGTATGGTGATGTAGAGCACGCCGTCCCTCACCTCCACGCCGATCTTATCCATGTCCAAGTTCTTGGGCAGCTCCACCCGCGTCCTGTACTGGCCGAAGCTTGCCGCCAGCCACGCCTCCTCCTCGTCTCCCTCTTCGTATCCGCCGCCTGCTGCTGCTTCCTGCTTCTCGTCACCGCCAGCACAATCCGAAGCATTGTTTTGATAGAAATGTTGCCGCCAACTATTACACCAATATTAACTGTGATGTAAAACCATCTTGGTTTTCAAGCATTGTTTCTGGGAGTCCCTACAATCTGGTACACAAAGAGCATTCAAAAGGGGAGAAAAAACAGGAGTCAAAAACTGAAAAGAACATGTTTCAGATTTGCTGACCAGTGAGTAAGGTAGTGTTGAACCCCATTTAGATGGCTTCAGCTTCAACTTTGGAGGCAGGATAAGAAAACAACTTGGTAGCATTCGTATAACTCAGCTCGCCAATTCTGACTCTACCAGTTCAAGGAGTGATGCGACATACTTAAAAACCTGGAAAATAAGGGACCTCCACAGTTTGAAGTATTTTCTCATCCCATTATTGCTTAATATTAAGTAAACATGCCTCTTTTGTTAAGATGGAAAGCTCAATGCTCTTGCACTGGATTGCTTCAGCAATTTAAACAAAAGGACATAAGTATTATTAATATATAATTTTGCTCTTCAAATTGCAAACAGGAAGGAGAGCAAGCATATTTTGTTGTATATTTTTTCTTTCGGTTCTTGCTTTTGTCTGCAAGACTACTTTATTGTTGAAAAGGCACATGAACACATAAAACGAAAGAGTCAGGAAAAAAAGCTTCTCCAAAGGAATTCTAGCCAAGTGCATCCACGAAAAAAAACTTACAATATGGATGTGCTACATTTAATATCGTTCATCTACTACATCTCGGATATGCTAACAAATGAAATATGAAATAGGTAGTGTCAACTTAGCTTTATATTGTCAACTCTTAGCTTTATATTGTCAACTCTGATGTAGAACTCTTACAGCCAAGCCAAGCAACAGGATGTCAACTTAGCTTCAGTTAATCAAACCGTTGTATCATGCGTGCATAGGTAGTGTCTGAATTCAATTTGCACCACCGAGGGCATACACACCATTATCCCATTATACATTCTTGGATGGAAACAAACAGCCCTAAGACATAATTGCATCTCTTTATCTTTAGAACAGTGAAGACTGAACTACATGAGATTTAAAATTCAAACTACTCCACCCACAAGAGAGCATTCTTTTCCAAATCAAAACAAGGGTGTGTACTTCTGCAGGAAAACCAATGGGCTTCTCAAAATACCTTGATTTTATAGATTCTATCATATATTAGAAAAATCAAATGGAAAGAAATGGTTTAATTTCAGAGAAATATATAGAATAAACCATGACTTGAGCACGGTACATAAGTACATATATTTAACATAGCAAATAATTCTTATGCATCACAAGGGCAATAAACCATTTCTCTCCATATTAATAATCGAGAAGAAGCAAATTACAATATTTCCAAAGCTTGTTCAGTTCACCAACAAAACATACCCACATAGCCAATAACTGGAGGTGTAAAATTTGCACACAAATTCACTGAGGTACTTAATCAAATGCATTGAAGAAGCTCTAAAATATGCTTACTTCTTTGTTGCAGTTGACGAACAGGGCGATGCCGAGAAGAAAGAGCATCTAAACCACCACTCCACACAAGATGCCAAGTCAGAACCCCTGGTCAGTTCAAATCAAAGCACTCTTTTAGAACAAACCGAGCTCTCCAATTTAGAAAGTAATGGAAATTAACTTGTTCCAAATGAAACTAACGAGATAACACAACACCTTCATGTCAAGATTGAGCTCACTATTTCTCTTTGTAACTTTTAAAATTTATATATAATATACATATAATCCGTCCGGGTTTACCCCTCCTTGTTTCTACAAAAAAGTCCATGTATGGTCATATCCATGCAACTGAAATTGCTAGTCAATTTAAATTGTTATTTTGCTTTTAGAATATAAATTGCTCTAGTTATCAATCTTTGATCCAGGCTGTTGCACTATCAGAGCAAAATATTAAAAGCAGAAAATAAAAGTCACAATTTTTTCATGAGGAAATATACTTCAAAGATGATGAGATAATAATATGCAAACTCACCAACAACAGCACCCTCGAGTCTCCTCTACAGCGAGCAATCAGAGAGAGTAGCAGTCAGAGTGGGGGCGGTCAGCAGCAAGGCCTCACGAGGGGCACGCGACGTCCTGAAGCGCGCAGGCGACGGCAGCCTACCACCACCGCACGGGAGGGATCGCCTTCCGCTCCAATTCGTACGGCAGGGGCCACGGTGAGGGCGCCGAGTCGGTGGGCGACCTCGCGCTGCTCGCCCACGGGGAAGCCGCATCTCCCCATCCAACGGATGCCTGCCCAGATCTGCTAGGGACCATGCCGGTGCGCCGTCCTGCCGGATCTAGGAAGGCTGGTGGAGTTTGCCGAGGCGACGGGCGCGGATCACCCACCGTGGACGTCGTCCGAGCGTGCTGACCTGCCGCCGCGCGTCCTATCAGGCATCCCACAGCCTGGCACAGCCGGGCATCCGAGCCTGAGGTGGTCATGGCGACGTGGGCGTGCGAGCAGGCTAGGGGCGGACTCCGGCAGAGGGCGGAGGCGCGAGAGGGATCGGAGGCCGTGGGGGCACGCCGACGGCCAACGCAGTCGCGGGTGGAGGGCAGGCAGGGCCTAGTCGACGGCGCGGAACCGGATCCGGTGCTGGTGCCTGCGCATGTGATCCCTCGCCGTCGGAGACGCGCTGGGCTCTAGGGCGTGGTTGGGGGTCAAGAGTGGTGTGTTTGATTTTTTTCCATCAGCGTAGGCTTCCGTGGTCGCGATGTGCGTGGGGGCACGGCTTCGATCCGTGCGTGGGATGGAGGGCGTGGGGGTGAGAACTGAGAAGGCGGGGGTGAGAAGCCTGGCATCCCACATTGAACTGTGGCCATCGGATTTGGATAAGGTGTTTGATTAACCCTTGATTTTAATGGTGCTGAATTCGTGTGTGTATTTTTCTGGATGCGCAATGGTTGGAGGCTCTCAGCGGAGGATGTTTTCGTGGGGGAACCTAGTATAATTTCGACTGGTCCATTGTAGTAGAGATGAACCGCTGATGATCTTGTCCCACACCATGGAGTGGTCGGTGGCCTGCACATTGACCTTGTCCCAATGCAGCGGCTTCAGCTTCGCCTGCTGCTCGCCGGCCCCGGATGGCATGCCCGGCGCTGTCGGCGGCCTAGAAGAGGACGCCGATGCCCCACCCTTTGGAGGTGGCGGAGGCAGCCCTCCTTTTTTTCCTCCTGGTGGCGGAGGCAGCGAAGGGGACGGGCCTTTGGGCGGTGGCGGTGGAGGCGGGCCACCTCTAGGAGGTGGCGGCGGAGGTGAGGCCTTGGCCGGTGATGGAGGCAGCGGCGGCGATGCGGCTGCTGGTTTTGGAGGTGGCGGTGGAGGCGACGCAACAGCGGCAGCGACCATGGGTGGCGCAGGTGGCGGGCTTGTTCTCCCAGCGGCGGCATTTACGCAGACCTAGCGGCGCGCTTTTGGCGAGGCGGCAGCCACGGAGCCACGGAGGCGGGCGGGCACGGAGCCGACAATGACGGCTGGGTCGGGTGCGGAGGACGTAAGGACACGGAGAAGGAGGAGCTGGAGCCGAGGTGGGCGGTGCAGTGAGTCGTCAAACATGGCGGACGTGGAGTCGTGGAGCCCACCGGGATGAGCGGCTCTGATCTATCTTGTTCCTCCTGGACCGTTATGGGGGGGGGCGGCGGCGATGACGACGGCTGGGGCTCCAGCCACATCTCCGCCGCAAAGCTTCGCTGCTTCCGGCCTTTATTTGTTGTCGGGCGGAGGCGGCCGCGAGGGCGCGCTTGCCCCGTAGGCTTCCTCCCTCTACCGCCGCCTTCGCCGTCCTTTTCGAACTCCCTCCAAGTATATCGCGTCGAGGCCGTTCTCATCCACCATGCCGAAACCGCCCCTCCCACGCCCCGCCCCTCGGCGGCCGCCTCGACTCCCTCTCCGCCGCTTCGACGAAGGCGCCCTCCTGCTGGTGGTTAGGATACCCATTCCGCCCCGCCGTCGGCTCCTTCTTCCTCCCGTGGCGGAGGAAGAGGAAGAAGGCGAGGCCCGAGACAGCGAAGCTGCTGAGCGTCGTGCTCACCACCGCCACCGCGATGTCGCTGCGCTTCACGGACGACGATGACGACAGCGACGGCGGCGGCGGGGCGGTGATGGTGACGGGGACGGGGGTACGATCGCCGGCGGTGGGGTGGCGAAGGCCGGCGTGCTGGTGGAGGGGAACGTCGTCTGGATGTTCCGCTGTGGCTGCGCGGCCGCGAGTGGGGTGAGGGCCACGACGACGGCGACGGCGAGGAGGAGGGGGGGAGCGGGCGCAGGCGCGGGCGCGGCGCCATCGGCGTGATGAGGTGGGGTGGGGGAGGTCGAATGGAAATTTGACGGGGGGATGTGGGACGAGGTGGGCGTGATGGACTTGCACGCGCTGCTGGTGCTGGCTGCTGGCTGCTGGCTGCTGGCTGCTGGCTGCCGCCGGCTACGTTATTGTTGGGTTGGTTTGGTTGGGTTGGGGTTGGGCTGTTGGGTTTGGGTTGCGTTGAGTGGTGGTGTGTTGACTTGGCCGGCCTTCGGGCTTTTGTGTGTTTGTTTTACTCGGTCCGGCCGAGCCGGGACGACACGACAGTCGAGAAGACGCGTCGTGTGTGGTGCCTGTGGAACGCGGTTGGGAGGGAGGGACCGAAGGACCCGGTGCGGCGGCGCCGAGGCGGAAACCGCGCGGGCGGGCGCTGCCGCCGCGCCGTTGCTTGCGGTTCGTCCGGTCGCCCTGCTGGGACGCGGGGTTGACACGGCGGGGGTCCCATCGACTGATGGACCCAGGCGTCGGTTTCAGATGGAACGGAGGTGTCAAAAGGGGCACGTAATTTCGGGACGAAAGCCCCGTCTCCGGATGTGGAAGTCGCGGCTCGCGGAGCGTCGCAATCG